GAATACAAAGCAGAACATGAAGAAGCAAAAAAAAGATGAGCACTTCAGCTGGTTCTTGATACACCCGCACACCGACGCAGCGGCAGCGCTCGTTTCAAGTAAAAAAAAATTCGCCACAAGCGATAACCAACCAATATTCCGACATGATTGCTTTGGCTTTTAATCAACAGTTTTTTTCATAATTTATTGTTTTTGGAATGCTTGTTTGTTGAACATCTGAAATAGTTGTTGTTCTGTTTTGTTCCTGGTGTGTGTGTTTGTTTGTTACGTCTTAAAATCCTCGGCCAACATTATGAATATTTGACCGTTTTATTTACGAACCAAATGATGCACGTTCCGAATGACAAAAAAACTCCACAGCAATGCTATTGATTTCGACATTCAAATAAATAAAGTTGAATAATTAGGCAGTTTTCAGCTGTGCGCTGCACTTTCCTCGTTCTGATCCATCGTTGGTTGGTTGGATCGGCCGAAAATGCGGCATGGAAACATGTTGCAACATTTCAAGTGTATTCGAAACAAATAAACTGGCAAAACCCAGAATAAGTTAAAAAGTATTCAGGCACTTTTTTCCATTTCTCTTTCTCTCTCTTTTTCTGAAGTTGAAGAAGATGATGAAGAAAAGAGCCGAAATGTTTGTACTCTCGTTCGCAATTTCATTGAGAGTCGAAATGCGAATTTCCGATAATGTAATGCTTTATTCTAGTTGAGCATTATTGATGGAGATGAGAATTGGTATTATTTAAAATGAAAATGATGACGATGGAGAACGAAAAAAGCGGAGCGAGAGTGCATGAAAGAGCGCGAGGCCGTGCGCGCGCGCGCGCGCGTTCGCGTTCGATTGTTGATGCAAAAAAGCGATACCGAAATCACCCGCGTAGATTCCAGCCGAGATAATTGCAGTTTGTTGGACGAACGAATGAACAGAGAAGAAAAAAAACTGAAGCGAAATAAGAACAAAACCAAAGTTCAAAGTAAGAATTACTGAAGCCATGTGCCAAAAGTTAAATGCTCAACAATAATAGTGCCTCAAAGATTTCATGCACATAAATAATGATGGATGTATTACGAAGCGTACTCACAGAGACAAAAGCGCGGTAACACCGACACACACAAACACTTAAGCCACTACCACCTACAATTGCACGAGAGCCCGGCAACAGAGAGAAAGAGAAAAAAAGTCACGTAAGATGTGATGATGAAGAAACAAGATAAAAGAAGAAGAAGAAGAAGATGTCGATTTTTCCGCGACTGTTGAAATCTTGTGCTGATATGGTACAAATAGGCCGTGTGCGCTCTCTTCCTATCTCTCACATTCTCTCGCTCTCCCTCTCTCACACACACAGAACCGAATAAACGTCGATATAATAAAACAAAAATGATGAATCGGCGACCACGATGATATTCCAAGTATTGAATATATATGTTAGATGTGGAGTGTGTTACAGCTGGATTCGAATCGACCGAAGATGCTGTTGTTATGTGTGTGCACAAATTTCCATGCACATCCACCCAGACAAGAGAATAAGATACTGGCACACTGTGACTGTACATCGGCATCAATTTACTGTCGAAATCGACTGGAGAGGAATTCCTTTTTTTCGTTTCGTTTGCAAAAGCGCAGATAAAGAAGAAGAAGAAAGAAAAAAGATGTTCGAAAATCGATTTTACAATAAATCACTTAGCATTCGGTCGTGCTGCTTTGTTTTGATTTTGGTTGTTGCCGATTTCGTTTTTATTTCAGCGAAGCTCTTTGCTCAGCAGATACACCGTCTTTCTCTATCTTCTGTTCTCCCCGTTGTGTTGCGGGCACTTCGGTACCAACCACGGTCTCGACTATCTTAACATTGGGCATTTCATAGCGTAGGAAATTTTCACATTTTATGTTTATGACCTAGTAGCGAGTAATGTTCAATGCCGAAAGAATGCAACGTTTTGCTTTGAAGCGCGTGGATGAGCGCGCAAGAGCTATTGGAACTATTCGAGCAGAGAAACACAGCAAAGGAGCGATGAGTCGAACGAAATCGAACCAATCGGCCAACCCAAAACGAAAGAATGAGCAAAACAATAACAATAACAATGGCTTATGTCGTGTTTGCTCTTCTACGCCACAGAATAGTTCGGGTGCTCGGAAGTTTGCATAAATTAAATATGCTGGCGCAGTCTCTCTCTCTCTCTCTAACACACACACACACACACACACACACACGCACATAAAATCGAATTTTATGCTCGATTTCAATGTGAATGATGTTTATTTGTTTTCCATGCAATTTTTCCCCTTCTTTTATTCAACTGCTGCTGCTGCTACCACTGTTGTTGTTTTAATTCAGTTTATATTTTTTTTTAAATTGTATCCTCGTATACAAAGACCACTTGAACGAGTTGGAATTAAACCAAAGCGTAGTGTGCTGGATCGCATGAAAACTGTTGGCCAACTTCCATGTGGATGATGATGACTGGAATATGAATAGCACTGTCCTTGAGCACATGCCGAATGTGAAACTGAGAGTGGTAACAGAACGGAACGGAATCAAATGAACCCCGGTTTAGTGGCTGTGATAAGTGCCACCGAGATCGAGGAGAAAGAAAAACACAATATGGTCCAACATCAGCGCATTGTAACGCTTCAAAAACTTTTGCTCTAAATTATAGATCTTTTCACACTGGCCATCGTTGTTTTTGTTGTTACTGCTGTTGTTGCTGTTTTTTCATGTGCTTTGTTTCCAGCAGCGAGTGAACGGGAATGCTTCTGCAGTGACTGTTTCAGACAGAAAAGCTCTGTGTACCGCACACACTCGCCCTATGAATGAAACCGAACCAAATCAAGCCAAACACACTATAGCGCTGGCATTCAAAGCCGGGCCGTGTCTATATTAAGCATGCTGAAAGTCAATTGATTTGAAACCTTCGTCAAAAATTATATGATATTTGTTTGAAAGATTTCGATGGAAACAAACAGCATCGGCCACTTAATAAATGGTTTTGAAAAACGCAAAACATCATTGCGCGCGGGCATTGGAGTGCGGCGAATGGGCGAAAAGAATGAGGAAAGGACAAATAAAGAAAGCGATTTGACGAATTGAAGTTTAGATCGTGAAGAGTGAAAAGGGCATGTGAAATGTGTGTGTGTGTGTGTGTGTATGTGTGTAGGGGGTGGATGACGATACAGACAAATGCATACATGTTGTGAGCCAAACGCAAAGTTAAAAGCTAATATTTGTGTTAAATATGAAGTGGAAAATGGTGAAAAAAACGAATGCCAATACGAACCCAAAGTCAAACCAAGAGTGAGGGTATGGTAAAAGTCGTTGATTTCACAGCAAACAAAAATGTATTCACATGAACACATCGGGAAGGGAAGCAAGCAACGAGGGAAAAAACAGAAATTCGGGGAGCGCATGGAAAAAAAATGATGATGAAAAACGAAAGAAAACAGCATCAGCATCAGCATAACTTTTGTAAATAAATACTGGCCCTGTAAAAATCACATCCATCGAATGTGCTCTCTCATTCCCCGGCACATGGTTCTGCCGTCAATTCTTCATATTATGCTCTCTGTGTCTGTTTTTTTTCCTCTCGTTTATCGTCGACTTTTTAAGTAGATGATGAATTGATTTGGAGCGTAGAATATAAAATTTATGTAGTTGTAAAAAAGTGACTCGGAGAAAAGCTGAATCGATTAAAATTATCTCGGTGGAACATGTTCGAGCTCACAAATATGTGTCGGGTGTATGGAATAAAAAATCAATCTGTTGAATTGATAAACACACATTTTAGACGATGTAAAAAAGAAGTCGTCGTAGTACGCTCGTTTTCACTCTGTCTCTTTCAATAATAATGTGTGCGCACACTGTATTTTATGGGGAAATATGTTCGTGTTCATTCTTCTTTCTCTTCAACTCACTATGCTGTTGCATACACACTCAATACGCTCGTATAATTTAGATTAAATTATGTTCAATCTTTTCCATCCGCGTCGCGCGTATCAACATCCTACACCGCTAATCGTGAGCAAACACCGTTGCCATCGTTGATGGCATGCCAGCCAAAGAACAATCAGCAGCGTTTGGCGTGCATGACATCCACACACTTACAATGGGCACACATAGCGCGCGCGTACGGCACACTCATTCTCGCTTGCTCACTGTGGCAGCCACAATGAAAACAACTGAATTAAATACACATTCAGCAATAATACGCATTCCCCAAGTTAATGCGTGTAAAGAATCGCTAATTAATTTCTAAAGTATGTACGAGGACGCGGTTCGATTTCCGCTTCCTTTTGGACTTTACCTACTCCATGTGCGTGTGCTGTGGATATTTTGCGTGCTGTTTTGCCTCTTGTGCTTTTCAATCAATTGTTTTCAATTTCTTTTGTTATTGTTGTTCTTACCCGAAACACAATGCGAAACGGTGGCAGCGAGGAGAGTCGAGACGAAAAGAGAAAAGGGAACACGCAGCCAAAGTGCCTGAAATAAAAAACGAAACGAAAAATATTTTTGAAAAACAAAACAGTCATTAGCATTCGTGGATTTGTTTATCTTTTCCATGATTTTTTCGCCCTTCTCTCACTCTTCCTCTCTCCCTCTCTCTTTCTCTTTTTATTGCTTTATTTTGATAATTCGAAAATGATCGATTACAAGAAATTTAGTTGGCAGAAAAAATGCGATACATTTACAGGAAAGAATATTTAAAAGAAGAACGAAAAAAATTACATCGAAAAATAGGACCGAATTCCTTGAGGACATTATTTAATGTGGCAGCAAGCCCAAGCATGAATACTTGTTTAACGAGAAAAACAAATAAAACCGAATGAAGAGATCTAATTAAGAAAAAAATATGTTGTTACTCTGCATATGTATCGATGGCCATATTATCGACGTTTCTTTTCTCGTTCAAAATCAACCAAATTTCTAACAAACAAAATCAAATTTTCAAAACGATTTCTCCAGTAGTTTTTCTAATTAAAAATGTTCTTATTTCTTCATTTTCAATAGCCATGTCCATCGATTGTGTAATTACATCGAATGCGGTAAACATCACTTCCGAGCGGTTCGCTTCAGATGAGCATCAATCTAAAAAAGGTAGGTTTTCTTTCGATCCAATCAAATGAATTTATAATAAAGACATACAACATTGATACGTTTAACAAACATTTTTTATGATACCATCAAATGAATTGCCATAACAATCGATGTGTGGGTTTCTTGACCACATTTCGTTTTAGCTGCCGATAGCTGTCTGCTCTTGACTTTAAAGAGCAGATCAAACACACACACACACACACCAACTGACACCAAATAATATTTACGAACAAGCAGAACAATAGGAAATTAAAAGATATATATCGTCATAATTTTACAGCCATATTTGTGACTGTCTCCGAATTTGGGTTTAATCAGACATTTCGCACACTCAACACAACTGACCATAAAAGTCATAATCCATCGCTAATGAAAAACAAAGAATCCGACGATAGAGAAAAAAACGATAATTAGCTCGACGATTGAATGATACAAATAAACAACGGTGATTCTGAACATTTTTCGCGCTTGCACCATCTTTCCATCGTTTATTTTCATATAAGACTTGTTTTCGTTTTTGTTGTGCTTACGTTGACACGTCATAAGTTTCGTGATAAATCGGTACGGGCATGCTTTTCGATTTTAACCGAGAAACTTTATTTGAATCCGAATAGTTGGCACCTTTGGTGCTGACGAAATCACCTCGGTTTTGCTCGACTGTAAATTTTGAACCAAAAAGGTTTTTGTTCGGAACTACGAAGATTCTCATTGTTATAATTTTTTTTTTCGTGGAGAGTTTTTTCGATCCAAAAATTGTTGCCTTGGTGCTGCTGTCGAGCGCTGTTTAGGTTAAGACGATGTTTCAGATGTTTCCAATGGTTTCTTTATACTTTGAAATTGTTGAAATTAATGAAATTGCTGCGAGTATTTAATATTATTACGCTTCAATATTGCGAAAGTGCCCACGCATTCTGCTGTTTCAATTTGAGACAATACCTCGAAGGAGTCGACTAAACGATTATGACAAGAGAGAGAGAGAGAGAGAGAGAGAGAGAGAGAGAGAGAGAGAGAGAGAGAAAGAGAGAGAGAGAGTGAGAAAGAGAGAGAGTGAGAGAGAGAGAGAAAGAAAAACAAAGTGGGAGTGAGCAGAAAAAAATGCCAACGTCATTCAGAAGCATTGCTTGGAAAATTTGGGCGATCAAGAACTTAATACGGACTTTAATTTTGAGATGAAGTTCAAAATGAAGATGAAACGTTTTGATAATGAGAAAATTAACGAATGTATAATGCAACGAGAATGAGAGACACACACGTTCAATTCAGCAGCCAAGAGACGATCACACATTGCTATAAATAAAAGTCCAATGTTGAATGAAAATGCATGAGAGAGTTCCATCATGTATTGCATGTCAAAGAAGAACACAATAATCACAAACCACGCATTTCAATTTCGATCGACGGAAACTATTTTTAACCTGCACAATGGGTAATGTTTAATTTCGGTTAGCGTCATGTGCCCTTTTCCTGCATGGGCTCGTCTTTTCCTCTTTCATTCGCTCGACTCGCTCATTTTGTATCGTTCACTTCTGTTTCTCCCCATTTAAGTAAACAACACCGATAGAAGAGAGCAAAAGGGAAATCAATATTTCAGCAACTCAACGGAGAAAATTTCGATACGGAACACATAAAGAAGCTCTTTCATATATGTGACGGCCAAAAACGAAAGCATGAAAAACCAAACAGGAACACAAACGACACACACACAGAGAGAGAGAGAGAGAGAAAGGAAAAAAATATAACATTCTCTCATTCATTGTGCGCACTTTGTTCACTGTTCATATGCATATGATAGAATTGGAATGGGACATGTATATGGTTATATAGTGAAGGGCAATTTGCAAACGATTGCCAGAAACAAAACGAAAGCGACAACAATAACAACATTCTCACAGGCGATGGACAGAAGAGAAGAACAAAAAAAAACACAACACTGGACAACAGCCCCACCGTGTGTGTGTGTGTACGTGCGTGTATTCGTGCATAAATACCAATCGACCCAGTCACCGGGCTTCACAATGCATTTCGTCAAAATTGGCCGGCTATACATTTTTAAAAGTTCCTCATGCACGTCTGCCCGGTAATTGGGTTTGTTGGCCGATCTGTCGTTCGAAAGAACCATTTAACTGGACACAACTAGTGTGGTGAACGTTGATTCGGCCGTTTGATATCAATTCGTTTGTTTCAAACAATCACAACCAGAGAGAAATAGAAGAAACAACAAATCAAACGAAAAAAAAAGAATAACAACCAAACACACCGAGCGGGAGAGAGAGAAAAATGACACAATTGACAAAAAGAAAACATCAACCGCAACAACAACACTGACAATATTCAAAATTCACATAAACATCCGGCTGATCAACAGAATCGATTCCATTCATGCATCAAATACCCAAAACGATGTCCAGCATCTATTTTGAACTCCTTTTACTTCGTGTGTCGTCATTCTCCAACGCTTCTGTTGTTATTTTACCTTTTTAGCATTTAGTCGTCTGTTGGGGCTGTGTGCGCTGTGTTTTTTTTGCATTTTCATCATGCATGCATACGATTCTTTCTTTGCAACATCGAAATAGTTTCATACCCATTCTGCTAAATTCTTTCTATATTTTTTTTTTTGTGCTGCTGCTGCTGCTGCTCTAGCCATCCTGTTCTCGTTTGCTTCTTCGATTTGACGTGTTTGACCAATTCGTTTTGCCTTGGTCGACACAGTTGCACACATTTGTCATTCTATTCGTTTCGTTGTCCAGTTGTTGTTGTTGTTGTTGATGTTGTTTTTTTTCTTTTCGGGCATTTTATTTCTCTTCATCGTGTACATTTTGTGTACATGTGTAGTTCTTAGTTCTGATGGCAATAAAAAGTACCCAGTGATTTGTGTCGTGCACTAGATTGCCACACATGCCTTGCATATATACATACAATTTATAATTTTATAGATTTCTTTCATGCTTCACGTTCATATCAAGTAGTAGCGTACATATTATGCCAATCAGACCACTGCCACTTACGATTGCCAGACAATTTCACACAAAAAGGAAGAGAGACGAGAAAAAAACACATACACAATCGTTCACCAATGCGGCTATTTGTACACACACACCAAGTTTTTGAGCTTCTGGATCCCGCATTTCAATACTCTCTCGCTCGGCATGGATTGGCTTGATTTCGGTTGGATTCGGGCTGAAAAAGCAGGCAACTTTGAATTTTCTTTCTTACATTTTTTTTATAATAGCTTTTATAGAGAAATCCAAGTAAGTCGAATCGCCTTCGAAACAACGCTTCATGTGAGTGTGCTACAGTGATGTTTTTTTTTCTCGTTCCATTCGATTTACACACGATGGCACAATTCCTGTTTACACAATCGCTTTTCACTTTTTTACATAAGGCAGAGAAAAATCAATCATTTCATTGCTATGACAAAATGTGTAGTACTTGAAACGATTAACTTTTTTTCTATTCAAAAATCAAAGTCCTAAGAATTTCCCCATGATTTGACTACAAAATTGCTTAGCGGCAGTGTGTGAATTCGGTTAGATTTATCCACAATTAAATTTTTCATTCGATTCGTATCTATGGCAGCATTGACAAGGTCTATTGAACAAAATTCAATAGAGCAATATGTCAAATCGATTTGAAAATAAAAATCGTTTAAATTTACACGATAGTAATTATAACCACGCACTTGCTGGTTTATTTATTCTTTATTATAACCGTTTTATTTTTATCCTATTGCCCCTATGGCCGAGCCATGTAATCTTGAAAATCAATTGGTGGCATGGCAGCGACATGCAGAAACTTGCAAGAAGCGCCCGTGTACTTCGTAGTGGAAAAGAGTGAATCTTGCTTGTCACCAATATTGTTCACGGATATCAAATTGTTTATGCGTTATTTCGCCCACTTTATGCACAAAAAATATTAAATTCCTTGATTGGTATCAAATTTCACATATGAACTCATCAGGAAAACACAACTTTTTTTCACATGAAAATCTAAATTTTCGAAAATCAGCTTTGAATGTAGTGTATTTTGTTATAGGCGACAAACAATTCAGGATCAAGCGTTCGTCATAGAATAGCTTAGCATGCACTCCATTTAATA